AGCTTTATTTGCCACATGTCAAGTTCATAATTTTTTTTGACACGTGTCAACGCTAGAGACCCTCTTTCATTCAAGTGTTAAATTTTTTTGTAAATTGGTTATTCTAATTTACTTTTCATCCATCATTATTATATTTTATATATATTTAATTATTTACTTAATTAATAATGAAAAATCCATTTTTCCATTGCTAATTATTTTTAACTTTTTTTATTGGTCACTAAGAATATTTTTCACGCATTTTTAAGCAAAATTCATTGGGATAGAAATTTTTTTAAAAAAATTATAAATTTATTACAGTGGATGAAAAATCATCAAGTATGTATAAAATGTAGTATTTTTTTGGGATATCTAACAAAAAAAATATTACTAAAGACATGTTGTATAAAACACTCTATATCTTTATATTTCTTTTTTTTTTCCTTTTGAGTTTGCTAAAATTTTCATTTTGACTTAGTAAATTTATTTGTAAAAATTTACTACGAAGTTATATCAATTTTACCAATTATTACTTCTAAAATTTTACTACGAGAGTCATACTAATGTTTTATCTTTCAAAACATACACTATCTTGAATATGAAATACTCCCTCCGTCCCAAAAAAATAGTCCACATTGAGTTTTGAATTTTGTACATTTTTAGTACAAATTTACAAATTTAATGTGGACTATTTTTTTGAGATATAGGGAATATAAAAAAAGGTGAATGTAATTTACACAAAAAACAAGGACAAGAATTAGTATATCATATAACTCGGTACAAACTTTATCATATTACGACGAAAACACTCGGCTCACATGTGATCATAATTTTATAATTTTATGTGATACATGTAATACAATCTGTGCAATGCACATGGATAATTCTAGTTAAATAAATAATAATGTTAATTGCTACACATTAAGTGATACAAAAAAAACGAGCAACTGTAGTTGATTTTCAGTTGATAATCACCGCTAAACTCTTTGTATATTAATTTTGAACAAAGTTTAATAAATCCTTCATCAAATTTTACTATTTTAAAAAGGAGAAAAAGAAAAGCATATAAGCTGGAATATAAGTTTAGCCTAATTACAGACTAAGTTACTACAAACGATTCATAAAGAGTTTTAATTATCATTAAATATTCATTCAACGCTTGATGTTTGCTATAAAGGGAAAAACAGTAAAGTAGTAATATTTTACTAAAATTTAGTGACATATGAATATGAATATTTAGAGAAAAGTTTATCCTAAGGGAGACGTAAATGAAACCGAGTCCCGAGTCATCCAATTTGTAAACAAAATTGTTTTTGATGTGAAGACGTTCGCTGCTCCGTATATTTTCGTAGGTTTGTTCATCTTTTGCTGTTGTTTTTCTATATTGATTTGTGCTACGAAAGTTGTGTATTGAACCTTTGCATGGACATTCTGCAAGGGTGTCCTAGTTTCTGCAATGAGGAAAATAACAAGAGTGAGGAGTATTATCAATTAAAGAGACTGTATACGAGACACTAAATGATTTAGTGTATGTAATGATTTAGCTACCTCTGAACGGTAATTCATTACTTGCAGGCTTGAAAACCGTAAAATTTCTCAATTATAACTCAGAGAAGACTTGAATTTATGATCCGCTTTGATCAGTTAAATGATTATCGATCGGCCGGCATTGAAGGTAATTTAGTTAAGTGATATGGTTGAGCAGAATTTTTAATTTGTAGTATTACATGGAAAATAGTTATTGAATAAGTTGTGAACTTTGGGTTTGAACGCAACAAGAACTGCAAGTGTAAGCTTTTGGAAATGGGCACAATGTCATGGTGTTGCGCTAATATTCTTGTAAAAATATTAATGACATTGATGAATGCACAATCCGATCCAGAGTTCAGATCAACACCCATTGACTCTTCACTAAAGAGGGTTCTCTAAAAAAAAAAAACAAATTCAAATTGTGGCAAAAAATATTTGAAAATAAGTAGGATATACATGACATTCACATTTCACAAAGAAATCCATTCTATTTGATTTTAGTCACAGGCAAAGAAACCCTGCAGTTCGCCGGTAATACAATCCAACAAAGAAGGTTAGGCTCCATTTAGTTAGATTGAATTGTAATTGAATCTGAATTATAATATTATTGAATTGAAAATGAGATATTAAGATTATAATTTAATCTTAATTTTTTTATTTGGGAGATCTTGATAATTGGCTAGAATTAAGGTTCTAATACCAATTCTTGCTTTTGGATGCATAAAATTTTAGATATTTTAGAATTGTAATTAGTTTCTTATTATTTAACTAATCAATTTAATTCATTTCAAATAATAGAAAAATAACTTTAGTTTCTTATTGATTTGATAATTTATATTCTCACTCAATACACTACAAATAATAAGTAAAACGTTCTTGTTTTTCTCCCGTTTATTAGATTTTAACATTTTTAATTTCTAATCCTTGGAATTTTTTAGAGTCTTTTAATGAAAAATTAATATTTAATATAAAAATCAGTTTATGTATGTTAGTATTCTTTTATATATAGATATACGTTAAATTCATTTTTATTATATTACATAAATTTATTAATGTGAAAGTAAAATTCCCACTCAACAAACAATTAAGTCCTGGGTCCAACATATTTGTTTTTTCTCAATTTATTTTTAACTTTTAGGACTTTGAAAAAATATTTTTCAAATTTCTAAAATAATTGTCTTATTTGAATTTTCATTTATAATAAAAATCTAAACCAAACAATCATTTTGAGACCAGGAAAGTATAGTAAGCACAAATATATGTAATAAATATGAACAAACTTGTTTGAAAACAAACATAAAAAATTTTAATCATTTACTATCATATAATCAAAAAAATTCTTTGATCAAAGCAAATGCAATTACTTACCAATATTTTTCAATACATTTTTTGTGTGGAAATATTTTGATAAACGTTTTGCAACAAAATATTATATTGAGTTAACGAGAGAGATTTTGATGCTTTAATAACTATCAATATGTTATTTATCCTTTCTACTTCATTATTTAAATTAGGAAAATAAAATTTGAAGGAAAAAAAAGAAAAAGAAAAAAGAGAAAAAGAAATACTTAATTTGTTATATCAAAGTAAATTATTACTTATTGCATATATTAGATACAAAAGATAAATTTATTATGCACATATATATTAGAAATATTTTTATTGTCACTAATTTAATTTTTTTCTTTTCTTTAATATTAAATTTTTTATTTAAAAGTAAAAAGAAATGTGAAAGAAAAAACACGCTGGGAAAAAAGGAGAAAAAAAGAAAACAACAGCACTTTGTGTCTCGTGCTGAAAAAAGAAAAAACTTAAAAAAATTATTTTTTATTTGAAAGCGCAAAAAAAAAAAAAAAAGCCACGCTGGCCGCTGGGCTTGGGAAAAAAAAAAGAAAAGAAGAAATAGGTCAAAAAGCTTAAAAACAACCCCTTTAATTTATAACCCAGAAATGACCCGTATTTGACCCGTGAATTTTTGAAAAAGGCTGAAATTTGAATTGCAATTATTTGGTCCTACAAAAGAATTAAAAATAAAGAATTGAGCCCCATTTTGAATTACAATTCCAACTCAAATATCTATTTTTTTCAACCAAACACAAAAATTAGAATTGAAGGTTCCAATTCCAATTCTTATGTCCAATTCAATCCAACCAAACAGGGCCTTAAACTAATTGAAATACTTTTCAACCTTTTTCCAGCCTATGCAATCAATGGCACATCTATACTCAGCTTTAATGAAAAAAATTTTGCCAAACACAACCAACTTAAAATTCCAAAAAATCAAAACAAGTAGCGACTATTTTAGAATATTTGGGTCGTTCGAAGAAAGTCGAGATTGAAAGAATAACCTGTACGACTTTTAATTTTCTCGATGATAACAAGAAAACTAACCTATTTGATGATGTTGCTTTCCGAATTGATGAGTTTCTGGTTTCTGCTAATGAGATTTTGGTTCGTGCTGTAGCTTAGGGTTAACTGTGGTCTGCCGAACTCATGAGCGAGCAGAAGGGAATCAATTGAATTTTTTCAATAAACTCATCGAGCTCGAGTCTAGAGAAGGTAGGATTGCTTTATAATACTCCCTCTGTTCTAAAATTACTGTCCAATTTGAGATTTCACTTTTAGTACAATTTGAATTAAAAATAAAACTCAAACTGGATAATAATTATGGAACAGAGCGAGTAACTTTTTGTAATAAATCTGGTGGAAAGCCAACGGATATAACCGTTGGCAGCTAGATTAATTGACAGGAGTTCAGGGAAGAGAGGCAGAAGGAATTGCTAATTTAAATTGAGGAATCAAAGCATCAGCAAGCGTTAAAATGTGGTGGAAGCATTAAAATTTTGATTTTGCATTCCACATGTAGGAACAAAAAATTGGGCTTAAAACACAAATATTTGGCACACTTGGAGGACTACCAAACTTTTTGAGATATTTTGCAATTATAATACAGGTTGATGATTAGCCTTTCTTTCAAATCTAGTCACAGTAATTCAGATGTAGAATGAATTCTATGTACAACTCCGCCAGGCCTATTAATTAAGTTAAATTGAAGCGACTTCACTAATTACCGAAACAATTCCCAAACTTCTGAATATCCCAAATCTTATTATTCACTCCGATCCTTATTACAAGTCATTTTGATTTTTCTTAAATTTTATTTATTGTATTCTTCTAATTGGCGAAAAAAATTAAAAAAATGCATTTTCATAATTATTTTTTTCTCTCAATTATTATAAAACATATTTTATTTTAAGGTTTTAATTCTAATTGAAAAAACATGACAATTGAAATTTACTTGTAATGTGGATGGGGAGAGTATCTCATCACGCGAAAAAGAAACTTGAAGTAAAAAAAAAAAAAAAAAGTGATGATAATGGCAATAAGTGAAGATATCCGTACGAAAAGATAATACGCACTAATCAGCAAAAAGTTCAAATAGTATCAACCTTTTTCAACATTAAATTTTATAAATGTACAAAATGGAAAGGAAAGAAAAGAGGTAAAAAAAAAAAAAAGTGACAAATTCAAAAGCCAGGTTATGAAATCTGAAAAGTCAGATAGAAAGGGACTAAGGAAACAAATTTGGCTTTCCTCTTAAAATATATCGTCCTTTTTACCGCCCCTCTTTTTTTTCTTTTTTTGTTCTCTTCGCCTTTCAGTTTCAGTTACATCAGCTTTTTCTCTCCGTCTCGGATGCACAGAAAGATTTACAGGTAAAGTGAGTTCAAACAGTAGAAAAAAAAATAGTTTTCAATACCACATTGTTTTGGTTTGGTTATCTCTGCCTCTGGGTTTTTCTTTCTTTTCACTTCACTTATTTTGCTCCATCAATTCAATCATTTCTCTGTTTGTTGTTTGTTCAGGACAGTAGAAGAAAAAGAATTATTTAAGCTCCCTTCTCCCCTCACTCATCTGTCTCTCGCACCTTTCCTACTTCCTTGTTAGTTTCCTGTGAACTTCCTAAACAGTAAACACCCACCTCTCTCTCTCTCTCTCTCTCTCTCTCTCTCTTTTCCTTCATTCAGCTTTCACATTCTTCATTTGCCATCTGTATGTTTGGATATTCCTCTTCCCTTCTGGCATCCTGCTGAGTCTAAGTTGTGCAATTTGTTTTCAAATAGTTTTCATTTTGTTTGTTTCTTGAAAAGGGTTTCTGTCTGTTTGCTGTATAATGTAATTGTGTGAAAGTGTTTGCTTTGATTGATTGTCTTTCTTTTTTTCAATTTTTTTTTCCCTTTCGGCTCTCTGAGCAATGCCCAGTTGTTTTAAACTGATTTTATAGAATCTCTGTCCAATTTTAAATCATGGGTTTTCGCTAGTTCTTGAAGATTTGAAGGTTTTTTTTTGGGGGCGGGCTTAGTGATCCTGTAATGCATGTTTTCTTAAACTTGTTTTAAATCACCCAAATTGACTTTGAGAAAGATGGGTTCTCGCTAAATCCTTTTGTTTTCAAATTCCATTCGATTGCAGTTCCTGAGAGGATATAAAAATCAAGTGTTACAGGCCAAGTTCTGAACATGTAATTGGGCACTGAGCGTGTTTTTTTTGGTTGTACGTTTTAGTCTGGTCATCCAATTCAGGATACTTTTAGCATTATGTAACAAAGTTGTTAACTTGATGGATCTGTGCTTTGTTAAAGCCTTCCGTTAGTTGAGATCTCAGAAGATGGATGAAGTTGGTTCATCCTCTCGCTAGTGTTGATTTTTGGTCAATGATGAGTTCATTTCGCTAAAAGTTGTCTCACTTTCAATCCTTGATGGAGATCAAACCATCCAAGAAAATTTTGGGAAACTAAAAGTAGGAAATCTGACACATAATTCATTAAGTACCCAATTCTTTTGTTCTTTCTGATAAATAAAGAAAATCCATTCTTTGTAATCTGCCTAGGTAGGATGTAAAGTTTGTCTTCCATCTTTAACTGTTAATTATGGACCTCATTGAAGGTCATGTATACCAGAAACATAGTTAAGCTCATTATCTATGAGACTATGACCAAGTAGACACATACCTGTGGTCCTCCTGCCCAAACTTCAAGTTTCTGTTTTCTAATTCAAGGTGTGATGACGGATTAGCCTCTCGAGTCGTTTCAAATAATTTGTTTCTGAGTCATTTGGGTATTCAATTTCTAAAGAAGAAAGGAAAAAAGATAAGATAAATTCCTGTTTCTTACAAAGTTATTGAGTGACCATGGAAGAAACGTTCGTTCCATTCCGTGGAATCAAGAATGATCTTAAAGGAAGACTACTGTGCTACAAGCAAGATTGGACTGGTGGAATTCGCGCTGGCATCAGGTATTAAGGATTTTTAGGCTGGCAGATCAGTTGCCATTGAGAAAATGTTTGCCTTAAAGCAAAAAAGTAAAGACTTATGGTAAAGTTTGTCAGTTTATTTACTCTTAGTGACTCTTGAAATTTTTGCGTTGTTTCGAAGGATCCTGGCTCCAACTACATATATATTCTTTGCATCTGCAATTCCAGTTATATCTTTCGGGGAACAACTGGAAAGGGATACGAGTAAGGGAACCTTTTGTTATCCACATCATATGTTGCTTTTCATAAGTGATTGTACTTCTTTGGTAAAAATTTTGGTTCGCTTACGTTTTTACATCCCCTTTTAAACATTGCAGATGGATCCTTAACTGCAGTTCAAACTTTAGCATCAACAGCATTTTGTGGGGTTGTCCACTCTATTTTTGGGGGTCAACCACTCCTCATACTTGGTGTTGCTGAGCCCACAGTTTTAATGTACACATTCATGTTCAACTTTGCAAAAGATCGAAAAGATTTGGGACAGAATCTCTTTCTAGCCTGGACAGGATGGTACCTTCTGAATATGCCATGTAACTTACTTATGCATCTATTTTATTGGTGCTAATCCTCAACATTTCCGTTACTTTTGTATTCAGGGTTTGTGTGTGGACAGCTCTTTTGCTTTTCTTGCTGGCCATTTTGGGTGCATGCTCAATTATCAACCGCTTTACGCGCCTGGCTGGTGAATTGTTTGGTCTTCTTATTGCAATGCTCTTTATGCAGCAGGCCATTCGTGTGAGCTGAATTTCAATATAAGCCTTTTTTTTTTTTTTTTTTTTCCCGGTCACGCCTCTAATGGTCCTATTCTGCTGACAAAATATCTTGGATAAGCTTTCACTTGTAATTTTTTTCATTAAAATTCAGGGAGTTGTTGAGGAGTTTGGGGTGCCCGAGCGAGAGAATCCAAATCAGGCGGCACTATTACCCTCGTGGCGCTTTGGGAATGGAATGTTTGCCCTGGTTCTGTCGTTTGGACTTCTGCTCACAGCTCTAAGGAGCCGGAAAGCTAGATCCTGGCGATATGGAACTGGTATGTTATTTTGACCGAGGTTCTTGATTTAAGAGGAAAATGGACAAAAGAAGGAAATTTTTAGACCTACTGGTTCTAATATCTGCTGAAGGATAATTTGTTGTTCCCTACTTGGTTCGTAGATTTGTTTTCTTCATTCACATGTTTTGGTACTTTTTCTGCTTTAAGGAAATTTGAATTTGTCTGAATTGCTGGTTCCTGGACATGGTTAGGCTCACTCCGGGGATTTGTAGCTGACTATGGTGTACCTTTGATGGTGCTTGTATGGACTGCTGTATCATATATACCGGTGAATAGCGTTCCAAAAGGAATTCCGAGGCGACTTTTTAGTCCAAACCCTTGGTCTCCTGGTGCTTATTCGAATTGGACTGTTATCAAGGTTATTTCTGTTATAATGATTTTATTTTTATCTCCTTGGAATTTGTCTGGTCTTTGAAGAGATTTTGTGCCCCTAGCTTTTTCCTCATGTTTACTTGAAAATTTTGCTGTATGCATGTGTACAGGACATGGTGAATGTACCTCCGTTATACATTGTTGGAGCATTTGTTCCTGCAACAATGATAGCTGTACTTTACTACTTCGATCATAGTGTGGCATCCCAACTTGCTCAGCAGAAGGAATTCAATTTAAAGAAGCCTGCTTCATATCACTATGACCTCCTCTTGTTGGGTGTCTTGGTAAGATAAACAGTATGAAATGCCATTTGTTTTAGCTTTCTGCAGCATAAAGTAGCTACTACAATGCTTTGAATGCAATGTTGAGAATTTTATTCTACAGCATGCCCTTCTGAGTATATGTTTCGCAAATCAGGTCATTATATGTGGTCTCATAGGCATCCCTCCTTCTAATGGTGTCATCCCACAATCTCCCATGCACACAAAGAGTTTGGCTACTCTGAAACATCAGGTACAGCTACTAATGTGTTTTTTCTTTCTTTTGGTCCAGTTATGCAAATTGCTTGTCATTCCAAGTTTTTTCCCTCCGAGTCTCATCATATCTGTTACATTAAATAACCAATTACTCGTGAAGATACAAATGAGAAGGCTGATATAGCGTTTTTTGTCATTTGTTACCGTATCCCCAGAATAGTGACTCTCAATCACCAAATTTCAAACCGAAAGATCTAAAGTTTTTTCTCACCTATGATTTTTCTTGTTATGCCTTTTGGCTGATCAATAGCTTATTTGGTTACCAATTTTGATTGGCAGCTCTATTTGGGAAAATAGTCTTTCAGACACTAATGACAAATATATTTCTCCTGTTTTCTCTGGAACAGCTTCTACGCAATAAACTTGTATCGACAGCTCGGAGAAGTATGAGCAAAAATGCAAATCTTGGCCAGCTCTATAGTAATATGAAGGAAGCTTACAATGAAATGCAGACGCCACTTGCCTTCCAAACGCCCCCTGCTCTGGTGAGTGTTTTTTCTCATTTTGATTCCCTAGATCTTATGCATTAAATAAATTCTTGTGGCATTGAATGCAATATCTTTGCATGCAGGGGCTGAAAGAGCTGAAGGATTCAACAATTCAACTAGCTTCAAGTACTGGTTACATTGATGCCCCAGTTGACGAGTCTGTGTTTGACGTGGATAAGGATATTGATGATCTTTTGCCTGTTGAAGTCAAAGAACAGCGTCTCAGCAATCTGCTTCAGGCATTAATGGTTGGTAGCTGTGTTGCTGCTATGCCTATCTTAAAAAAGATTCCTACTTCGGTCCTCTGGGGTTACTTTGCTTTCATGGCCATTGAAAGCTTGCCAGGAAATCAATTTTGGGAGAGAATATTGTTTCTTTTTACAGCTCCAAGTCGAAGATACAAGTATGTCTATGTTGGTATTCTCGTTTAATCAGTTTTTACTGCTTTGTTTTAGAGTAAGTAGGTACCTGCCACTTTTGCAAGTTATAGTTCATAATGTCCAGGGTACCTGTTCTGTGTACCACCTCTCTTTTATACCTATTTCTATGATTATTGTTTCAGGGTGCTGGAGAAGTATCATGCGACATTTCTTGAGACAGTTCCTTTCAAAACCATTGCCTGGTTCACCGTATTCCAGACAACTTACCTGCTCTTATGTTTTGGTTTAACTTGGATCCCAATAGCTGGTGTCCTTTTCCCATTGTTGATTATGCTGCTTGTTCCAGTGCGGCAGTATATGCTCCCCAAGTTCTTTAAAGGAGTCCATTTGCAGGACTTAGATGCTGCAGAGTATGAGGAAGCCCCTGCTGTAACATACAACTTATCTTATGAAGTAAGGCCATAAAAGCTCTCTGATAAATGTAATGCTATTTATTTAGAATCGTTTTCAGATATTTCGTTCTCGCTTAACTCACCTCTTTATCTTGCCGGATTGCTAAGAAGCTCGGAGTTTTCCATGAAGTAGAGAATAGTGTATTAACTTCTGCATGGAAGCAATTTGAAGATGTTTGTTATTATTTAGCAAACAAGCCACGGCCTAATTGGTTCTGCCATTTTTTTTATGTATTCTTTCAGGCTCAAGAAAGTCAGGCAAGAGCCCCCTTTGACAGTGCTGAAATACTTGATGAAATTGTCACAAGAAGCCGAGGTGAGATTCGACATTCATATAGCCCGAAGGTAACAAGTACCACCCCAACTTCAGTGGAAGACATAAAGATGGTGCACAGCCCGAGGGGTTTATCGCATAGGGCGGCATACAGCCCCCGGGTGGACGAGCTCAGGACTGAAAGCAGCCCCAGAATGAGTGGAAAAGGACTTGAAATCAAACAAACACCCAGTCCACGTCCATCTCTGCTCAGCCAAAGCAGTAATGTTTCTTCTACCTAGGAAACAATTATGGAAATTCTTGTGAGTTGAGTCGTAAATGGTTCTTGATGAAGAGTTCTATCTTATTAGAGTTATGAAGGATGCTCGAGAGGTCTTCTGACAAGTATATTTGTCAATGTTGGTGAGATAAGTAGTTCCGTTGCTAATTCTAAGAACTGTGTATGTTGGTTTGTCCGTTCTTCAGAGTGAGTCGTTCTTGTTCCTAAAAGAGTCTGGGCAGAGGACAGCAATTAAATTAATTAAAATATATTCATTTTCACTTCTGTCTCTCTTTAACCATTATATTTGATTTGTTTTTTTTTTTTTCGTTTTGCTCATCTTTTGTTTGCAAAGCTGTAAGTTGATCAGCAACAGAAACCGTGACCTTTTTCCGTGACCTAACTGATACGATATTCTCCTTTTTATTTTGTTTGCTATATGTAGTTCTCACTCTAACTTGAAAACTGACGAAGAAGTTAGGATTATGTTGGAAAATCTGTTGGATTTGGAGTTGTAATTGGCCAACTTGCCTTTAGTGGAAAACATGCAAGTGTCCACTAAGTCAATTGTTTTTGCTTGAAGGATGTCATCACATTCTTTTACCATATTTTTCTTACCTCATCTCATCAAAAAGTGGGTAAGTATCCCTTCTTGAAACGAACTTAGGGGGTATGCGATAAGAGAGGATTGGGAACAAAAACTAAGTAATGATCTTATTGTTCTTTTTTCTTTTCCCTTTTTGTCTGCTACTAGTGCTTTAGTATTCGTGGTACTATAATAAATCGTGTATATTTAGTTTGCTATCAAGTGCACTGGGATTTTGTTCATTATTAGTTTGTTATAGTTTTTAGGGTGATGGTAATCTTCTGACCCTTAGAGATACATTTGTAGATTTCCTTCAGTGATTTAATACTAAACAAAAATATAAGTGACAGTTTATTTCGAGTGGATTGCTTCTCAACGTCCACAAAATAACTCACGACAGTCCAAATAAGACGATTTTACCCCTCTAGGCTTTGAAATTCAAATTATTTTGAAAATTAAGCAACTTCAAACTTAGAACTAGAACAATTGGAAGTTTGAAAAAATGGGGAATCAACACAGAAGAGTAGCTTACAGGACAGGCAAAAATGTGGGTAAATTTTTTTTTAATTTTTTCCACCAAATCTTGAAGAACAAAAAAAACAAAAAAAAAAAAAAACAAAAAAAAAAAACGATATAAGTGCGCCTAATTATATCGTTTAAATTAACCTTGTGTATAGTTTGATCAACTAGCCACTTGTGCATGCATATTGGGTAACCTCGGAAGGATAAATTCAGTTTAGAACGACTACAATTGGCCGGTGACTTAGTGGTAATAATCTAAGGTTTTAACTAGGATCGGAATACCTAGTTGGTACGAGGTGATCGCTATGACATAAACTTTTAAGTTAAACATTTCAATCGGAAGAGAGCTTGTTAGTCACTGGAGGGACTTCCTTAAGAACATCGGAAAAGACTTAGGGATAATTAAGCATCTAAACGAACACACTTCGTACCTCATAGATGCATAATCATTGTAGAAGTAACATAGAAAGGGAGGAGCACTTCGAGACCCTTTCACTTTGTCTAGTTCCCTGTTTTCTTGCAAAAGTTGTGTTGTGTTTCATGCTCTACCTGCTTACATTTACTTTATTGCTTGTTATTTGTGTTTTCAAGTTCTGTGAGAAGACAACCACTCACGTAAGTGCTGGGCGTGCGTGACCATCTCAAATCGTTTCTTAATTATTTTTTGTTTAGTCTTCATGTGTTCTGGACGGTTCTTGGATAGTTATGTCCGTCCCTGTGGATTCAACCCGACTTACTACTATCTACTAGTTTTCATTTATTTTTTTTTTTTTGGACGATTTGATGAAAGTCTGTCACCAAAATGTTGCACGGTAGCTAGGAACGGCGTAAAACATCTTTGAACATATTTCAGTCCACAATTTTTATTATTTTTCTTGTTTTGGTATTTTTGTTTTTGTAGTTTTAGATCTAGATTTGGTTTATGTTTTTTCAGTGTATGACCAGAAGAAGTACCCCAGGTACTCTGTTGTTTGATCCTGAAATCGAAGCCACAATCCGAAAGGCTCGATCTTTGAAGAGAGCTCAAACTTTTCATCATCAGCAAGAGTCTGAATATGAGGAGATGCATGTAGAACACTAGGAAAACCAAGGAAATGGAGCCCAAAATCCACATTATAGGCTACTCAAAGATTATTTCATCCCTCAGGTGGAGGAATGAATATCTTCTGGTTTCCTTGATGTTGAAGCAAATAACTTCGAGCTGAAAAGCATAATGATTCAAAGGTTGTAGCCCTATAGGCTGCTTGCCCTTTCCATAGATTAGTCAATGAGGACCCAACAATGACATCATGACATTCCTTTGATTGTGTAGTACTTTCAAGATACAGGGATTGTCTGGTGATGATGTTAAGTGACGCTATTTCTATTTACTCTGTAGGACAAGGCTTAGACTTGGCTCAATACACTCCCAAGTTATTTGATCACAAGCTAGAATGAGCGGAGGCAAGCATTTCTAGCTAAATTTTTCTCACCATCCAAGGTTGCACATTTTAGAACTATAATTATGACTTTTTAGCAGTTAAGGAATGAGACCTTGTATGAAACATGAGAAAAATTCAAGGACATGTTGAGAAAATGTCCAAGCATGGTATTGAAGAGCATATGTAGCTTGGTATCTTCTACAATGGATTAACACAGTCATTTAGAGACTCACTAGATTCAGCATCTGGTGGAGCCTTCATGATGAGAATGGTCGATAAAGCTAAACATTTGGAGAATATGGCAATCAATCATTTCAGATGGTAGAAACACCCGAGAGCTATGGTGAAGAAAGCTGGAGTTTTGGAGTTAGATGCAACCTTGAAGCTCATATGGTAGCTATGGCAAATGAACTGAAAAACAGAGATTTAGAGAAGTCAAATCTGAGTCACGTGAGTTGTGTGCAGGAGCTCACAGCTTTTAGAATAATCTTTCAAAGTTTGAAGCCGTTCAGTTTGTCAGGCAAGGCAATGCTAGAGGTTTCAGCAACTTCAACCACTACAAAAACTGGAGAGGTCAATCTCGAGCAAATTGGAACAACCAACAACAAGGAGGACTTAAGACCAACCATCCCCCTGGTGGTTTTCAGAACCAGCAGCATATTGTCAGGGAGGATGAATGGACATGGATGAGGAACATGATGAAGACTCTGACAACTGCATAAAGGAAGATGGAAACAGAAGAAAACTAGGTTTTGCTGAAAAATGTTTTTTAGAGAAATATGATTTCCTTCTGTCGAAAAACTTAAGTACAATAGTAGTAGTAGATCTGTACTTATAGACTAGTTTTTACAGACTTACGATTAACAAACTACATGAGTAAAAGCTAATCTAATTGACTAACTTTAGGAAGTTGATAGAGATAATCAATTACAGGATCAAGCTGATCTTATATTCCCTGTCAACAGCCATATTCCATTGAGCATGATTCACCTTATCACTCTATCTTCCTTATGACTCCTCATACTCAGATTCATTAATTTCGGAAGTGGACTGATCATGAGAGATTCTGTTTACATACCCCCTCAAACTGGGCTGGGGCAGAAGGCACATTTTGTGTCGAAAAATGGAAGGACAGCCTTGGGCAGAGGCTTAGTAAATATATCAGCCACTTGTTGGTCAGATGGAACATGCCTGGTGACAAGAAATCCTCGAGAAACTCTTTCCCAGAAAAAGTGATAGTCAAGCTCTATATGTTTCGAGCGAGCATGAAAAACTAGGTTAACTGTCAAGTACAAAGCACCGAGGTTGTCACAAAATAGAATTGGAGGAGACTCGAGAGGTACACGAAGATCATCCAAAAGGTAAACAAGCCAAGTAAGTTTAGCCGCAGTATTCGCCATGGCTCGGTATTCAGCTTCTGTGCTGGAGCGACAGTGGGTTGTTTTTTGGCACACTAAGATATAAGATTTGGACTAAGGAACGTACAGTAAACTATAGTAGAGCGTCTGGTAAGTGGACATCCCGCCCAATCAGCATCTGAAAAAGCAGTCAAGAAATTGCAAGCATTAGCTATTAGCTAAAATCCAAAGTGGACAGTGCCTTTCACAAACCGAAAAATTCGGTGAACCAACTTCAAATGAGCAACCCTCGGAGCCTGCAAAAATTGAGACACATAATTGACACTATACGATAAATCTGGGCTAGTGAAGGTTAAATACTGTAAAGCACCAACCAGACTATGAAAATGAGTAGCATCAGGAAGTAAGGGAGAATCAGGCACAATAAGTTTAGTGTCTAAAGGAGTAGGCATCGGTTTACATTCCATCATGGAAGATCGATCCAAGATACTCAGAGCATACTGTGTTTGAGATAGAACTAAACCAGTAGTGGTGTGTGAGACCTCTATGCCTAGAAAGTGATTAATAGGACCAAGATCCTTCATGGAAAATTCAGAACATAACACAGCTATAAATGATGTAATAAGCATGGGAGAGGACCCTATAACAAGCATGTCATCAACGTAAATTAAAAGACAAGTGATCCATGAGCAGAATGATAAGTAAATAGAGAAGGATATGCTAAGCTGCAAACAATACCATATGAGATCAAAAAATGACTTGGGCGATCAAACCAAGCCCTATTGCCTGTTTCAGAGCATATAATGCTCGTTGGTGTTTGCAAACATGGTGTGGAAAGTTGGGATCAATCATTCCAGGAGGTTGAGACATATACAACTCTTCAGAAATAAAACCATGGAGGAACGCATTTTTCACATCCAACTATCGGATTGACCATTTTTGAGAAAGAGCAACTGAAAGGACAAGACGAATGGTACCCGGTTTAATGACAAGAGAAAAAGTTTTGGTGTAATCAACATCATGAAGCTGATGATACCCTTTGGCAACCAGCCTTGCCTTAAGGCTATCTAGAGTCCCATCAGGTTTTAATTTGGATTTAAAAACCAATGTGGAACCAATAATGTTCATGTGAGAGAGGCGGGGAACGAGACGCCAAGTTTGATTTTGGTGCAAGGCGCTAAGTTCATCAACCTTCGCAGCCTTCAACCCGGGGTGTGCGAGGGCGGTTTTGACTGAGTTGGGCTCACTAGGAACAGGCAGGGAGACAGTGGCAAGCAAGGCGTATTTAGGGTTGGGTTTAAAAACGCCGCATTGAGACCGAGTAACCATCTAATGACCAGTTAGGTTTTCAGATGAATGGACTTTTGAGCTCAATGAAGAGGCAGTGTGTGAGAGAGATGGGGAAGTGAGTGCATCGGGAGATGGAGGAGGGCCACTGGAGATGGCT